TCAATGCCATGTTTTCCACTCTCCAACATAATCTTTTGCCTGGCTATAGGGAATCCATGCTTGAGCATGGAGACATGCTCTGGAAGTAGCTCCATCCTGGCAGTAGCTGAAACAAGGCTTCCTCCTCTGCAAGCATGTCTGTCTGCCCATTCAGTAGGCAAAAATCTACCTGCCGTTCTCCACTCTGGAAAGCCCATCAGGATAAGGATCTTTGCACAGCCTCATTCCCTACAAAAGGCATGACTCTGAAGAAACCTGGCAGCAACCTAAGCAATGCTGCAGCTGAAGCAGCAGAGAAGCACTGACTCCAGGTGACTGACCTTGTGCAGAGGCACTAAGACAGCAAAAAGAGACCTGCTGTTGTGAAGCACTTGGCAACGACACTGTATGCATAATTCAAACCCCTCAGGGGTCAGAAGTCCCCAGACATGGGACACAGATGCACAGCAAAGTGGAGAGGATGGACTGGATGGCAGTTACAGCCCCAGAGAGACGATTGTGATTCTCAGCCTTGTCATGGTTGCATAAGGGTTACCAAGTCCTGGACAGACTTCAGATTCTGTGAATATCTGAGAACGATCCTGAATGCTCAGGGCTCATGTCTCTGTTCTCCAAGGCAATGAGGTGAGAAGGTCAAGAATGCCGGTAAGGCAGGAACTGTGGGGAGCCCTGAAGGGGAACTTTTGTCGTAAGACAGTGTGGCAACATAGAATCATGCAACAGATTGGTTTGGAAGGGACCTTTACAGGTCATCTCGTAGAACTCCTCCTGCAATGAGCAGGGACATCTTCAACTATATCAAGTTGCTCAGAGCTCCATACAACCTGGCCTTGAATGTTTCCAGGGATGGGGCATCTACCATCCTTCGATCCTTCATTTTACAAGCTCTTGTAAAACAGATTTATAACCAAAATTCCCAGAGCTGATGATCCTGGAGTGCATTAAGAACAGTGTGGCCAGCAGGTGAAGGGAGGTTCTCCTCCCCCTCTACTCTGCCCTAGTGAGGCCCCATCTGGAGTACTGCATCCAGTTCTGGGCTCCCCAGTTCAGGAAAGATGAGGAGCTACTGGAGAGAGTCCAGCACAGGGCTACGAGGATGATGAGGGGACTGGAGCGTCTCTGCTATGAGGAAAGGCTGAGGGAGCTGGGCTTGTTCAGCCTGAAGAAGAGAAGGCTGAGAGGGGACCTTATCAATACTTATAAATATCTGAAAGGTGGGTGTGAGGAGGATGGGGCCAAACTCTTTTCAGTGGTGCCCAGCAACAGGACAAGGGGAAACGGGCACAAACACAGGAAGTTCCGTCTGAACACGAGGAAGAACTTCTTCACTCTGAGGGTGACGGAGCCCTGGCATAGGTTGCCCAGGGACGTTGTGGATTCTCCTTCTCTGGAGGTATTCAAAACCCACCTGGACAAGGTCCTCTGCAGCCTGCTGTAGGTGACCCTGCTTCGGGCGGGGGGGTTGGACTAGATGACCCACAGAGGTCCCTTCCAACCCCTAACATTCTGTGATTCTACGATTCTGTAAAAACTAACCTGAGGCTACCAAAAACCTAACTGAAGACCTGGATATAGGATCTGCACCTCTGAGCCCATCCTGTCCCCTGGATTCTCTCCAGCCACAAACACTGCTGCCATCCCTCTTTGAAAAGCAAAAATCTTCAGCTGCTGAATCCATGACTGATGGAGCACAGCCTGATTGCCCTGGCCCTCGCATCCCCAACTGTAAATCAGGTGCCTGTCAGAGGTCTTGGCCCTTTGGAGAAAGAGGGGCAGATAAATCAATCCTGCCAATCGACAGGTTTGCATTGAAATGCATTGTTGGTTTATCAGTCAATAGTTATCGACCAGGATCATGTTCCCAGGGTGATATTCTGCTTTCTGAAGGGAGCCCACACCCCGGTCGAAATGTAGGCTGTAGAAGCGCTCAGCAGCACTGAGAGGAAAGCTGGGAAGAGAGGTTAGAGAGAGAGGTGTAAACTGGACAGATGGGGAGAAGACTGGCACATGGTAAGGATGAGGGTGAGTGTTATGGACAAGGAGTCATGGTGAAGGGGGAGGAGAGGAGACTGTGTGACAGTTTGTGCTTGTAACAAGGAGAAGAGTCCATATGTGCTTCTTACACTCTTCTCCAAAGCCTATGAGGGATCCAAGAGTCCCAGTTCTCCTAGTCCCCTCTCCAGCCAGGTTGCAAGGTTAGGCACCAAAAAGATTTAAGGGTTATACCTCTGCACTAGAGCCTCCACTGAAACCAGTCAGCACAGAAGACCCCATTCCCATACTATTAAATTCTCCATGCAGAGTGACAAACTACCTAGCCCCTGGCAAACACACCCAGAAAAGGTCGGGGCAGTGGTAACTGGCAGAGTTGCCGTATGTGCTGAGGACCTTTCTAAAACCAAACAGCAAAGGCATGTGAGATGCAGCTTGCCAAGTCGCCTGGGCAGCCTCAGTCCCTGCCTTTGCCTGTGTGCATGGTTGTGCCAGTTCAAAACCAGGCTGTGGACTTTTTTTCACAAGACTGCTCCTTCCCTGAGTGTGGAGAGTCTGGACTTCACCCACTTGACAACAAAATAGTCATGGGTCTGTTTTCTCCCGTCTGTCATTTACCATGCATTGTATGACCCCTGGTCTCTGAATACAGAATTATTAATTTCCCAGTGAGCTTTCCCATGCTACTTTTTACTTCAACATCTCTGCAATGCACGTATTGTTTCCTCTTCCCAACTTCCTCGTCAAATAAATGGGTTTTTCCAGGGAAGGCTCAGCCAGGAGCTTCTCTCTCCCTGTCTTATCCATCTCCATCACAAGAAAAGCAGTTCAAGGCTTCCCTGCAATGCAGGTCATTCCATTTTTCTACCTGGTGTTGAACAGCCAAGACCAGGCTGGGCAGGTCCTGCTGGGAGAAAAGGAGAGGGAGGGTAAAAAGGATTGGAGGCAGAGACAAGAGCCTGGAAAGCAGGTACTAATGTTGAGGGAAGAAGAGAGGTGGCTTTTCAAGAAAGAGCTGAGATCCTGGAGCAGCAGCTCGTGCCCAACACATCTTAGCCCTTACTCCACAGATGCAAAAGCCATCTTGGCTCTGCAGGGATCTGGTAGAGCCAAAGCAAACACATCTGCAGCAAATTTTTCTTTCTCCCCTTTGTCCAGCAAAACTTCTTGAAAATTGTTCACTAAGCAGCCCTGTGGGAGGATGCACACCCCCCCCACCGATTACAGGAACATGCACTACCTCCCAAGGACCCCTCAGCTCCCGTCTTGCTGCCACCCCGTTACTGCTTCAGTCAGTCCCTAAATTGGCTCTTTGGGAACCCAGGCTGCTCACGGTTGGTCACTGCCCTGTCTCTTTTTAATTGGAGCCTTAATCTCTTGCTGGCTATGATAATGCGATTGGTATCACCAGGCAGTTTGCTAATGGTTAACTACCCGTGCCGTCCACAGCCCATTACACACAGAAAATCTGCCAGCTGCTCAGATTACTTGGAAAAGAGTTTAGCACAGGGGGAACGGAGCCACAGCATGCGTGGTGGCTGTGAGATGCGATGGGGCAGGGTGGCAAGGCTCCTGAGTCCTCTCCCTACCACGCCATTTAGTAACTGGTCCTAGAGGGGTGCAAAATCGGAGGGTTCCCTTTGCAGATCTGGGGAAAAGCAGCAAATGAAGAAAATGGTCATTTGAAGTGGCTCAGGACTCCAGGCTCCGGGCAGGTGTGAAGGGTACAGATAGGTGGGTGGGATGTAGAAGCAGCACCCCAGGTTTCCACCATTAATCCATCAGAGATGCTCTGCCAGCATCTTTCTTCACATAACCAGCCAAGTGGCCTCGTCCTGAACTTTTTGCTGGTGGTCACAGCATAGAACCATAGAATCATAGAATTGGTTATGTTGGAAAAGATCTTTAAGATCATGAAGTCCAACCATTAACCTAGCACTGCCAAGTCCACAACTAAACCATGTCCCTAAGAGCCACATCTACACGTCTTTTAAATACCTCCCGGGATGGTGACTCAGTCACTTCCCTGGGTGGCCTGGTCCAGTGCTTTTTATCCCTTTTGGTGAAGAATTTTTTCCTAATATTCAATCTAAACCTCCCCTGACACAACTTGAGGCCATTTCCTCTCTTGCTATCTCTTGTTACTTGGGAGAAGAGACTGACACCCACCTCGCTACAGCCTCCTTTCAGGTAGTTGTAGAGAGCGATAAGGTCTCCCCTCAGCCTTCTCTTCTCCAGCCCGAACAGCCCCAGCTCCCTCACCCGCTCCTCACAGAATTTGTGCTCCAGATCCTTCACCAGCTTTGTTGCTTTTCCTTGGACACACTCCAGCACCTCAATGTCTTTCTTGTAGTGAGGGGCTCAAAACTGAACACAGCACTCGAGGTGCGGCCTCACCAGTGCCAAGTACAGGGGCATGATCCCCTCCCTGCTCCTGCTGGCCACACCATTCCTGATACAAACCAGGATGCTGTTGGCCTTCTTGGCCACCTGGGCACACAGCTGGCTCCTGTTCAGCCAGCTGCTGACCAACACCCCAAGATCCCTTTTCTGCCAGGCAGCTTTCCAGCTACTCCTCCCCAAGCCTGTAGCGTTGCATGGGGCTGTTGTGACCCAAGTGCAGGACCTGGCACTTGGCTTTATTAAACCTCATACAGCTGGGCCTCGGCCCATCAATCCAATCTGTCCGGATCTGTCTGTAGAGCTTTCCTGTCCTCAAGCAGCTCAACACTCCCACCCAACTTGATGCTGTCAGCAACCTTACTGAGGGTGCACTCAATCCCCTTGTGCAGATCATTGATAAAGATATTAAACAGATTTGGCCCCAGTACTGAGCCCTGAGGAACACCACTTGTGACCGACCACCAACTGGATTTAACTCCATTCACCACCACTCTGGCCTTGGCCATCAAGCCAGTTTTTTACCCAGCAAAGCGGACGCCTCTCCAAGTCATGAGCAGTCAATCTCTCCAAGAGAATTCTGTGGGAAATAGTGTCAAAGGCCTTACTAAAGTCCAGGTAGACAACATCCACATCTTTTCCTTCATCCACAAAGTTGGTCATCTTGTCCTAGAAAGGAAATTGGGTTAGTCAAGCAGGACCTGCCTTTCATGAACCCATGCTGGTGGGGCCTGATCACCTGATTGTCCTTTATGTGCTGCATGGTGACACTCCAGATTATCTGCTCCATAGCCTTCCCAGGCACCGAGGCCAGGCTGACAGGCCTGTAGTTCCCAGGATCCTCCTTCCAGCTTAGCATCCCATAAGCTAAGCAGAAAGAGCGGCACAAAAAGTACTTCCAAGTTCACCATTTATGTGGGGTGAGGAATCAGGGCAGGGGGAACACAGGCAGCTCACACTGCTTTGGGAGGATCCCATATAATTCCCCTCTGCTCTGTTGTGCAGGAGGACTTGAGATCCTGAGAGACAACAGCTGCCAAACAAAGTAGATATTTGAAGAAAAACTTAGTTGCAAGAGCTTTGAGTTTTGGAAATAAGGAGAATCAGGCAGTTCAGAAATTTTCAAGTGTGTTCACGTGAATATTCTTTTTAACGGCAAAATCTCTGTAGAGGTTTGCCATTCCTCACAAAATCCAAGGGGCAGGGGTGTAGATGGAGTGTCTGGGTTTTCTCCTCAAGCTTTTCCTTCAGGCAGATATGAGGGTGCTTATGCAAAGGAGCTCTGATTTATTCTGTCTCAGGCAGACTAGGAGGTAGGACTCCCTAAAAGGTCTTCAAATTTGCATGAAAAATGGGGGTTGTTCCCCTAATGTCACAAATCTCAGCACAGCCCTCCTTAAAACCCTCACGAATGAACAGCTACCCATCCAAGCACTTTAGGAAGCCTAGCCCTGATCCTGGCAGCAAATCTGACAGCCTGTAGCTTTAATGAGGGAATAATCCAGATGAAAGAATCGCTCCTCACATGTAAAACATTGCAAGGAAAAAAACCCATGCGCTGGCTGTGCACATCTCCAATGAACATCCTATTTTCCCAGGCTCAAAGCTTATTGATTTAAGTCTTCCCTGTAAGGCTCATCCCATGCCATGTTTTGATGCCCCAGAACAACAGCTTCCAATATACAGTATTATTCTACAGCTTCTAGGAGAAAAAAGTCACAAATTTTCACATTAATTTGGGAAGTAGGTGGAGACACATTTGATTTTGTTGACATTGTATTGAAAATACCATTCTTCTTTGAACTGCCTCTGGAGCATTTCTATTGGGCTAAGAGCAGAGTTAGAAATTTTGGCTCAGAAGGTGATAAATATGAGACAGCTATGAGCTGGGCTGGTCAATAAAGTTTTTTTGGCTTTTTTTCTTTAATGAAATGATTTTTCATAAGAAAATTTCAGTTACTGAAGACAAAGATCATACCTGATCAGCCTGGTGCTTAGACCATCCCTTCCTGCTCCTGGAGACCCTTGCTGAAGTCCTTGATCTGAATCGAGGTGAGGAAACACTTCATGCCCAGAGGTCCACAGGCAAAGGACAAGGAGCAACCAAGCTGGTATAGTGCTGTGCTGTGCTTTGGCAACAATCCTTTATTCTCAGTAAAATAAATGCATGCACAGTCAGAGCTGTTTAACCCACCACGGATTACCCTGCACCTTCTCCCTTTCCCTCCTACGTGGGTGTACATGCATGTGTGTGTCAGCTGGAGTCTTACACTTGTTTCACATAATTTATGTCCCTGTTGTGGAGTGCACGAATGACAAGGCGAGCAAATCCCATAGCAGCCTCTTAAACAACTCGGTAGAGAGGACAAGATTTTCATTTTATTGTTGTTCATAAAATTTTATGGGTTGGAACTTGCTATTTTTGTTCCACGGAATGAAAGGAAGTGGTCTTTTTTTATTATTATTATTTTTGCAAATCTGCAGCCACTAATGGAACAGTTCATAAATGCACAAGCCTGACTCCCTTCCTCTGCAGGGAGCTGGCCACCAGGGCAGGAAAGGTCAGAAGGGAAAGGAAGAGAAGAAATCCTCCTCCCTTGAACTTTTGCAAGTGATTTGGTATGTTATGCCAAACTCCCAGAGAAGATGTAGGAACAAGTTTAACTTTGTGGGTTCATCTGTGTGTGCATGTAGGCTTCCCTGAGACCTAAGGAGGGAGGATATAGTTACACAGTGCGTAAAGACCATCTTGAGAGGTTTAAGCAGCTCCCCAACCTGCCATGTTCTTTCCCACAAGCTGCCCAATCCATCCAGTCGTACCAGATCACAAGCAGCAGGCAAGGCACCCTCTGCCTGCATCCAAGGCTGGACTTGCTAGCTAGACTTGCTTGCTGACTCAGGGGCATGGAGCTGCCATGGCCTTAGGGGATGGAGTAGGGCCAGTCGTGCCTTCCAGGACTGTGCGCAGGGGGACAGCATCAACACACATTTTTGTCAGGCATTAGACTGCCCAGGGAAGTGGTGGAGTCATCATCCCTGGAGGTGTTCAAAAATAGTGTAGATATTCCGCTTCAGGACATGGTTTAGCAGGCATGGTAGTGTTGGGTTGACAGTTGGACTTGATGATCTTAGAGTTTTCTTTCAACCTTAACGATTCTATGGTTCTGTGAAAATATGGGTCCACGAGTGTGAGATGACGTGTGATGCCTGCTAAGGCGAAATGTGTGTGTGACAGTGCTTAGGGAGCGGGAGAGAAGTCAAGAGCAGCCGTCCCCTGGCAGGCACCATCTTTATATTCTTGGCCTGCAAATCATCCCCACCCTTATTCCCCTCTAGCAGCCCAGTAGTTGCATATGACACTACATTTGCATTTTCAGTGTCACAAGTGCTGTTTGCTCACAGCCACACGTACACCTTCTCTGGCCATGAGTCACATCCCGACCTGACACACAAGCTGAAATCCAGACCCCATGGACAGGCAACTCCAGCGTGCAGCTCACATGCATTGGGCATCCCAGGCAGAGCAATCATTTCCAAGCATGTGTTGGTGGGACCAGCAGCCTTCCACCACAGGTCCAAGCACTGGGCATCCACTGCTCAGGGTTTGGTCTCTGCAGCCATCTGGAGACATGTGCCCCTGATTGGAAAGGAGAGAGACCACAGCTGCTGGTGTTGCCCACAGAAAGATGTCAAAGCCAGGGCTGACATCCATCACCAACAAAAGCTGGTTCCCACAGCAGAAATTGGTGCAGGCTCTGGCCCCACTTCCTTGTTACCCTGATGGTCACAGAGTCGCCGTCCTCAAGAGAGAAAAACTAAGTTGAAATGAAAGAAGGTCTAGTTTGATTAAGGAGAAGTGATTTCATGAGGAAGATGGTCACTAGTTCATACAGTTTGCCCAGAGAGGTTGTGCTGAGGTGCGTTGGAGCAAGAAGTTGTGGTAGAAGACCTCTTGTTCTCTTCTGACTTGAATTATCATTTTATCCTAGGATTCAGAAGAGGCTAGCTGGGCTGAGCACAAGGATGCGACCCAGAATCACCTCTCTTGTCCTATGGTATCTACCTGTCCATAGCCAATGTCATTGCTGGAATTGGAAGGACTAGTAGAAATATATTTGGGAGATGCATAATCCCCAGGCAGGGATCTAAATCTCCAGCTAAACTGGATGCACCATCCCCGTTCATTTCATACTCCTGGTTATGGTGGTGTATCCATTTACCTCCGTTCCTTCTCTAGAGTAGCTGAGCAGGGAGAATGAAGGCCATTCCACCTCTCCATTGCTGTGAGCTCTGCTAGCCCATGCTTTGTGCTCACCAGATCTTGAATCACCAGAAGGACCAACCCCCCGGTCCCAGGAGACGCTGCAGGAGCCAGGGGAGAAGTTCATCTTTGCTGTACTATGAAAGGTCACCACAAAGGCAGCAGAAAAAGGACGGTGATCTTGAATACCCCAGACAAGCATATCCTTCAACTTCTTAACACCAAAATAGGCGTCTCCCATCACCCAATTTCCATCAGAGAGAGCTGCCATAAAAGAGAGCTCAAGAAATGAAATGAAATTAAACCCAAATTGACTTTGTGGCAACACAGGCCACAAATTGTGGCTATTGTGAACAGTGCCTGGGCATTTTCCGACTGCCTATTCATCTTCTCCTTTGATTAAAACACTCCATGTTAATTCCATTTCCAAAGCCCAAGTTCTTGTACACATAGTCAGCTTAATTACATTCCCTCACTTGTTAATCCATTCACCTCTCCTGGATGAAAATGTAGCCCCAAGATTTCACACCAAGCTGTTTCTGGCAGGAACACGGCATCTCACGGAAAATCCTGGGCAGTGGGGAAAATGGAATAAATCACATCCTTCTCGTCATCCTGACTCCCCATACCCGGCGGGTAGGTTTTCACTGCTGGCTTAGCTAAGACGAATGTTACCTCTTCATGTTGCTGCCACCTCCGCTGACCTTCTCAGGTTGATTTCAGGCTGCTTTAGTCCCTGAAATGCTAACACAGCTGAGGGTATCAGAGGCAAATTTGAATATCATCCCTGCTCCAGATCTGGATGACTCCCCATCCTCCCCTGTCTTCCCGTGGTCCCAGAAGCTCTGGCACCTCTTGGCCAGCCTGGCCCAGCAGCAGAGGACGCTTCACCAAGCCTGTTCTCCAGGGAGGGCAGATCTCTACAGTATATTTAAGCCGCTGCTCATGGTTGTTCGTTTTTTTGTATCAGAGTTAAGAAACTTCAGTCCCTCCTTCTGAATGTTTTCAGATTCCTAGGGCAATTAACATAAAGCCATTTGCAAGGATGCTTTCAGTGCCTGGCTGTGGACGCAGGGATATATCTTTTCTCCTGGAAAACAAACTGAAGGAGAACCCTGGAGTACATGTGAGTGCCACCAGAGTGCAAATCTTTCCCTGTCCTTGCTCCATACCTTTCTCCTCCCTTTTGGGCTGCCAAAAGGAAGCCAGTTTCTCCTTGGAAGATGTGAAAGTGTCTGAATGGCTTTGCTACATTCACCCACAAGGTCCCATCATGCTACCACCTCCAGCAGGACCCTTGCCTACTACACGGGCCCTACGAGCAGGAGCTCTCCCATGCCTGCCCCACAGACATCCCTCCTAAGCATGCAAGCGTGCACAGCTGCAAGAGGTTTCCTGCTGCAATACATAGCTGGGTTCTCCACTAATCCTCCCACCCTCCTCAATACCTGTGTCCGTCCGAGTGCCTGAGAGGATTTGGAAAGCCAGGGGAAATATAATTAGACAAGATGTTGCCCTCGGAGTCAGAGACAGGGCCGGCTTGTTGAAGGGCAGCGGTCAGCAGAAGGAGCTAAGAGGAGTCAATTTAGCACGGCTTACAGTGCCG